TGGGAAAGTGCTGCAGGCATCCCTAAGTGAGGGCACTGCCATCAGTAGGCTTGGGATGCAGGGAATAATCACCTCTTCTCTTTTTTGTGATGGTGTGAACACTAAGATGTACTCATAGCAAATTGCAATGACACAATATAGTATTATTAACTAGAATCATCACGCTGTATGTTAGATCCCCAGAACTTATTCATCTTACAACTGAAAGTTTGTACCCTTTGACCAATGTCTCCCCAATTCTCCCCATCCCTCAAATCTTGGCAACTAAAATTCTACTCTGCTGTTCTGGGAGGCTGCCTTCTTTCACTTCCACATATAACTGAGATCATACAGTATTTCTCTTTCTGTGTCTGGTTTATTTCACTTAGCATACCCTCCAGGTTTAACAATATGTTGAAAATGGTAGGATTTCCTTCTTTCTTACAGCTGAATAATAGCTCATTGTGTCTAAATACACATTTTCTTGATCTATTCATCCATTAACAGACACTAAGTTGTTTCAATATCTTGGAATTATCTATAGACTGTAAATACTGCTGCAATGAATATGGGTATCATATCAGATATCAGATATCTGAGATACTGATTTCATTTCCTTTAGATATATATCCAGGGCACCTGGGAGGCTTGGTAGGTTAAGAATCCAACTCTTGATTTTGGTTCAGATCATGATCTCACTGTTCATGAGATCGAGGCTGGTATCAGGCTCTGCTCTGTGTGGAGCCTGCTTGGGATTCTCTCATTCTCTCTCTTTTCTTTCTCTCTGCCCCTCCCCCAAGCTTACTTGCATGTGTGCGCATGCTCTCCCTCTCTTTCTCTCAAAATAAGTAAATAAACATTTAAAAAAAAAAGATATATATCTAGGACTGGGATTACTGGATCATATGGAAGTTCTATTTTCAATTTTTGAGGAACTTCAACTTATATATTGTTTTCTATAATGGTTGTACCAACAGTGCCCAAGAGTTCCCTTTTCTCCATGCCATTGGCAATACTTGTTATTTTTAATTTTTTTGATAATAGTCATCCTAACAAGTGTGAAGTGAGTCTCACTGTGGCTCTGATTTGCAGTTCCCTAATGATTAGAGAAGTTGAACATCTTTTCATATACTTGTTGGTCACTGGAAAAATCTGTCCATCTGTAAATCAGACTTTTAGTTTTTTTTGCTATCAAGGTGTATAAGTTCCTTATATATTGTGGATCAGATGTATGGTTTATAAATATTTTGTCCCATTCCCATGTTATCTTTTCACTTTGTTGATTGTTTCCTTTGGTGTGCAGAAGGTTTTTAGTTTGAGATAGTCCCACTATTTATTTTTGCTTTTCTTACCTATACTTCTAGTGTCATATTAAAAAAATCACCACCTCGGGGCGCCTGGGTGGCTTAGTCGGTTAAGCATCCGACTTTCGCTTAGGTCATGATCTCGCGGTTCATGGGTTCGAGCCCCACGTTGGGCTCTGTGCTGACTGGCAGCTCAGAGCCTGGAGCCTGTTTCAATCTGTGAATCCCTCTCTCTCTGACCCTCCCCTGCTCACGCTGTCTCTCTCTCTCTCCTAGAAATAAATAAAACATTAAAAAAAAAAAAATCACCACCAAGACTACTGTCAAGGAGTATTTTTCCTTATGTTTTCTTCTAGAAGTTTTATGGTGTCAGCCCTTAATGTAAGTATTTAATCCATTTTGAATTAATTTTATGCATATTTTGGTTTATTCTTCCACATTTGGATATCTAGTTTTCTGAACACCATTTACTGAAGATACTATCTCTTTCTTCATTGTGCATTCTTAGAGCCCCTGTTGAAAATTAACTGACTCTCAATGTGTATGTTTATTTCTGGGCTCTCTATTCTGTTCCACTGGTTTGTTTTTATGCCAATGCAACACTGTTTTGATTACCAGCTTTGCAAGATAGTTTGACATCATAAAGTATGATGCCTTCAGCTTTGTTCTTCTTTCTCAAGATTAGTTTGGTTATTTGGTGCCTTTTATGATTCCATATAAGTTTTATATTTTTTTCTATTTCTGTGAAAAATGCTATTGGAATTTTGGTGGAAATTTATACAGGGATTACACTGAATCTGTAGATCTATAATTCTAAATAGAATGTAATTAGGGAAGTGAAAAAAGATGGTAGAGGTATAGTAGAAGAAATCTGAGTGACTGAAGTACTGAAGCGAAGTCTGGCTTACCTAAGGCCTGAGCACTGAGGCATTGAGAGTGGAAACTGAGCAGAGAGGAGTAAAGGGTTTCCTGAGATGAGGGTAATTTTTTTTTTTAAATGTTTGTTTGCTTAGAGCAAGCTGAGGAGGGGCAGAGAGAAAGGAAGGGGGATCCAGAATCCCAAGCAGGTTCCACGCTTGTCAGCACAGAGTCTGGGGGGGGGGGGGTTGGGGGGCTTGATCTCACCAACCATGAGATCATGACTTGAGCTGAAATCGAAAATCTGATGTTCAACCACTGAGTCACCCAGGCACCCCTGAGAGGAGGGCAATCTTACATGTGATGCCTTAAAGAGGAGGACATAGAAAGTCTGGCTGGTGACTTACCTAACAATAATTGATGTAAGTCCAACAGATTTAAGTACAGGTGCATTTTTCCCCAAGTGCTAGCAAAGAGGCAAGTTAAAATGACATAAATGAAGTGGGATGGTGGGGGGGGGCAGGAAAGGAGATTAAATTCCATTCTCAAGAGTTGGTATCTCATGTTAAAATCAGTTTAAAGTTAACACAGGATTCTGGAACCAGAACTAACATTTCAGGAAGCTGATCTTTACTACCATATGTGAGAGTAGAGCGGGGAGGTCAAGAGCCAGGGAATTGAGATGTTCACAGTGAGGTGACACAAAAAGTTTGAGCTATGGCTTTAGGAGGGAAAAGAAAAGAGAACCAAATTCCATACTGATTACAGAACCAAAGAGCATCTACCTTGTAGTCACAGGGTGGTTCTGGTTCCTAAATTCTGCAAAAAGTACATTGTGTTTTGACCCTATGTTCCAGTTAACAGCAAAAACAGGATGTGGATAAAAATAAGAATCACCTCTTAACTGTCACCCGCTTCTTCATATAAAGCAATGATTACAAATTTAGCACACCTGTAGATGCTCATGGATCTAGGAAGAAATTCCACTTAAAAGAGAAACTTCCCTTGTTACTCAAGGCTTCAAAGAACGGGTTTCTTTTTTTATGTTTATTTATTTATTTTGAGAGACAGAGAGAGAGAGAGAGAGAGAGAGAGAGGTGGGGTGGGAGGAGAGAATCCCAAGCAGGCTCCATACTGTTAAGCACAGAGCCTGACTCAGGGCTCAATCCTATGGACCGTGAGATCATGACCTGACCTGAAATCAAGAGTTAGGGCCTTAATTGACTGAGTCACTCTGGTGCCCCCAAAGGATCAGTTTTGAAATACTTCCGAGGATAGACCAAAGGCAACTATTAAAACCTGATTATATATTTAGTAAAAATATTTCAAGTAGTAACTGGTACATTTTACTATTACTCAGGTGCAATATTCATATGTATATGCCGACCTATACATTGTGATCAGATTCGGAATATCAATATATAGCATTCCTGGGGCACCTGGATGGCTCAGTTGGTTGAGTGTCTGACTCTTGATTTCGCTCAGGTCATGATCTCAAGGTTCGTGAAATTGAGCCCTGAGTTGGGCTCTGTGATGACAGTGTGGAGCCTCTTAGGATTCTCTCTCATTCCCTCTCTCTTGGCTCCTCATCTGCGCGCGCGCTCTCTCAAAATAAATAAATAAACAAACTTAAAAATACATATATATAAAACATTCTTACTAATGACTGTCCTGGACTAAATGTTTGTGTCCCTTAAAATTCTTATATTGAATCCATAACCCCCATGTGATAGTACTGGGTTATAGGAGCTTTGGGAGGTAATTAGGATTAGAGGTGGTCATAAGGGTGGAGCCCTAATGATGGGATTAGTGGCCTTGCAAGGGGAGACATCAGAGAGCTTCCTGGAGCGGATGAAAGTGTTCTGTCTCCTTCCCTGTATATGAGGACACAAGGACAAAGAGGCCATTTGTAAGCCAGGAGGAGGGCTCTCCCCTGAATTTAACCATGCTGAAACCCTCATGTTGGGCGTATATATAGCCTCCAGACTACTAGAAAATTCCTATTAACCAAGCTTCCTAGTCTATGGTTTCTGTTCTGGCAGACCAAGCTAAAACAGTGATAAAAAGCAAAAAGTAAATATTAAATTATCTTTAAATTCCAGTAATTTTTAACAGGTCTTAAGAATGGTTTTAGATTTATAGAAAATTTGAACAGATTAGTACAGAGTTCCCTTATCACCTGCCCCTTTCTCCCTCCCTACCCACATGTGGTTTCCCCTATAATCAGATGCTCAGTAAAATGCTCATACCACAGGCTCCTCCACGTCTGGCTCTGCCCAGAACTAGCACACCTACTGAATCTCTCTCCCTGTTATGCTAATTCTTTCTGCCTGTTAACACCTGTGCATTCACCTCACCCCCTATATCCAAATTCTACTCAACCGTCAAAACCCATCTACTCCACAAAGTCTTTTTAAACTGATACTGTGTTCTTTCTTTTATTTACTTCTTCAATATCTACATGATTAGCAGGCCACGGTTTATCACTTAATCATTCTCTAAATGTTAGAGTAAGGGCCTCTTTAGAGTAAAGACCGTGGCTTACAATACTTTTTATTCCCACCACCTCTTGGTACAATCCTGGAAATGTAATGCTTGATCAATAAATATATAGCTGATTACTAGCTAGTAAACAGTAAAGGCAAGTTTTGGACAAATTGATCTGCTCAAATTTTCTGAGAAAATTACCTTCAAAAATGAAAATGACTCTAAAAATCCCAAAATTTCCAAAATGTGACAGCCTGGGCCCAATGCCACAAGCAGAGGTCTCCAATGATGTAACCCTTAACCTTAGCAGGCTTTCCAGATACATGAACATCCACTCACTGTAAAGAAAGGCAGATGTTAATAAAGACATACCGTCTGAGGTTGTAAGAATCTTCTTGTCTTTGGGGGCCAAAGCATGTCCAGCATGACTGATAACCCAAACTGGAAAGCGTCTGTTTGTTGCGGAGTGCAAAGCCTTTGCAAATGGTACATAAAAGGAACAAAAACCTGGATTACCTAAGAAAAGAAACAGAGACCTTAGTTAACCAAAGCTAAGCTCATGTAAGATGTGCAGAGTGGAAAAGATGTATCTATTTGTCCTCACACTTTCTTCTACAAAGCTACTAACATTGACACATACACTTCAATTTTAATATCCTTTCTGCCTTAAGTCTGGGAATGATCACTCAGAAGATTCTTGCTCCTGCTTTGTTCTCCAACTGTTTCAAGATAAATTCTTCCTCCTTATTCCTTAATTTAATAAATGGAACCATCAATCCTAAACCAAATACTCAAGTCCTAACATCAGGTTTCTTTCTGTTCTTCACAGCCAATTGACTAATAAGTCCTGCCAACTTTGCTTCCAAAATATATCCCAACACTGTCTACTTCTTTCCATTAGTATTATCAGCTCTCATTGAGTTTTATGCACATCTCTCAACGGGCCTTCTAGCTCCTCCTGTCCCCTGGGAATCCAACCTTCAGGGTACCCAGAGAGACAGCTTCAAACTTCAAATCAAATCATAGTCAGATTCTATTTAAATACCTTCCAGTGGCTTCCCATTATCAACCTATTGGTCTGAAGTCATTAATTCTGCCTCTAAAGCCCTTCAAGATATTATTGTGCTCAGTTACCAAGCTGCATGAAAACAAGTCAGTGTAAGAATCATTCACAAAGAGTACTTTGAGGAGTGTACGGAGTGTTTCCTTGTCATTTATCACAGTACTTCTATTGTAAACAGATGTATAGTTTGACCTTTTGGGAAAAAGACCACCAACATATAGATTTTTGTGTATGTACAGAAGGTATTTTTGACATGAGTTTGCTATAGAGAAATGGAATGAATAATGACCTTTTAGAAAAAAGAGTCAATCTGATACATCTTTACGGGGAAAAGACAGTGAAATGGGGTTTCATCTTGCAGTCATCATCTGTATAATGCTTTCACAGATACTGCTTCATTTCCAGCAATGTCTATGTCCAAGTTATGATTTTTTCATGCTATTAGTTTCTTTCTGATTACATGACATGGATTTCATTGCACTGAGATAACCTCTGCCACACTTATCAAATGACACTGATTTCTTCATCATTGCAGTTTCCTCAATAGGAAATGTAGCAAAGTGGTTAAGGACACAGAGTCTGGAGCCAGACTGTATGAGCTGGAATCCCGGCTTTGCACTTATTAAGTGTGTGACCTTTGGAAAGTTATTTAACCTCTCTGGGCATTGGTTTGTCTTCAAAATGAGGATAATAATCACATTACCTGATGTGAGAATAAGTGAATTAATTTACGTAAAGCACCTAAACACTGCTTGATGCACAAGTGCTGTATAAATGTAAGCTACTCAGACGTGTCATGTCTAGCCATGATGGCAATGAATGGCCTTGTCATCCAAACTGCAAGTTTGCTTCTGCTGCATTCTCTTTTTTTTAATTAAAAAAATATTTTTAATGTTTATTTATTTTTGAGAGAGAGAGAGAGAGAGAGAGAGCGAGCGCACAAGTGGGGGAGGGGCAGAGAGAGAGAGAGGGAGACACAGAATCTAAAGCAGGCTCCAGGCTCTGAGCTGTCAGCACAGAGCCCGACGTGGGGCTCGAACCCATGAACTGTGAGATCAAGACCTGAGCGGAAGTTGGACGCCCAACAGACCAGCCACCCAGGCGCCCGGCTTCTGTTGCATTCTGACCTAATGACCGGAGTTCTAAATTCCATTTTGTAATTGTGCCAGGGTCATCTTTTGCTAAATAATACAGAAACTTCTTTAAATGAAGTAATATGTTCTCCGGTCAGCTGACTGGCCACGGTGTAGTTCTGAGAACGAAGAGAGGAGGGGTGCACAGCACTGGGGCAGTAACATGTATGGTGGATATGGATAGCACTGTTTTATGTTTTATATTTAAATCTTTAATAAGTTTGGAATATTTTTTAGTATAAAATTGTACTAAGTAGCAATCCAACTTCTTTCCAAATGCTTAGCCAAGTGTCCCAAGACCATTTATTATATAACCCGTTCTTTCTGCATTGATTTGAAATGTCTTCTGAATTCAACCCTGAATTCTTACATTAGCTTGCTAATTCTGATTCCAAATAATTCCATTTACTTTTTTTCCTTTTCTTCTCTGCCAGCACCATACTGCCTTGATTACTACATTGTTTTGTTTTGTTTTGTTTTTAATGTTTCGGTAACTGAAAGGGCAAATCCCTTCTTTTAATTTTTTCCCCTAACTTTTCTAGGTTGGTCTCATAACCTTTAGAATTATTTCCACCAGCTTCAATTTAAAAAAAAATTTTTTTGGAATTCTGACAAAATCACCTCATTTATACATTAATTTAGAAAGATTTGATGTTTTTCATATTACTGAGTAAAATCTGGGAATGAGTTATGTCTCATATTTAAATGTTTTATGTCTCTCAGGTAAGTTTTACCTTTTTTTTCACATAGGTAGAAAATAATAACTGTCAACATCTTAAAGTGCTAGAACTTAACAACATGCTAGGTAGCATTTGAGTGCTTTACACATATTAATTCATTTAGTCCCCACCTAAGGTAGTACTATTATTATTTCCATTTTATGGATGAGAAAACCGAAGTACAAAGAGGTTAAACGAATTTCCCAAGATCACACAGATGATAAGTGCTCCATAAATATTTGATGACTGTAAGAGTATACAAAAGAAAATAATAATACTGAGTTTATAAAAGAACATAAACTACCGAGCTTAGGATCTTTTGCATACCTTGTTTTAGTTAATCTTACCAAAGCCTCACAAAGTAGCTGGCCTTATCATTAGGGACAATGAATGGGCAAGCACTTGCACAATACCTGGCACATAGTAAGTGCTGAATAAATCATAGCTGTTGTTACTAAAATTGTTATTACATATTTATTTTGTATTGAATAAATCTAACATGTCATGTTCTGTAAGTTTAAGGTGTACAGTGTATTAAAATTGGTTTAAGGAGAATCCAAAGACAACACCTACATGAACTAGATGCAATAATTACTATAAATTACAATGAGTTACAACATAAAACTGAAAAGTACTAGTTATGAACTGCTACAAAACATTTTTTTCCACCTATCTCTGGGTTCTGAGTTCTTTCACTTAATGACTATAAGATCTTAAGCAAATACCTTGTAGCTTTCTTGTTCACGATTTTATAATCATTAAGTAAATGATACTTTCAACTACTTCATGTTCATTTCATTCTATTCAGTACTATTGTTTCTTTTGTATATTATTTTAGTTATCAATTATTTACCGATCACTTACTACATGGAAGTCACTGTGCCAGGCACAGGACAGTTAAAGGCCTTTTTGTAATTCATATTCAGTGGGAAAATATATACATATGACTAAATAAGTAAATAAGATAATTCAAGAGTGGGATAAGTTATATGAGGATCGTGAGAGGATCCTCAAGAGAAGAGATTAGGGTGGCCTGAGAACAATTTTTGAGGAGATGGCCTTTAGCCAAGACCCAAAAGATGAAAAGAAATCAACCTTGTAAAATTTTGAGGAAAGAAGATACCAGGACAGGAGAAGAACAGGTGCAAAAGCCCTTAAGCAATGAAGAGCTTGGCTCCTGAAGAAACAGAAGAGTCCACCATAGCCAGTATGTATCATGAAGATCCAACTGACAGGTGAGAGAAGTTGAAAATGTAATGCAAACCGTTTAAATGTCATTGCATACTTCACCACTTAAATATTATGGCTTATGTTACACTTTATGAACCATGAATTTAACTTCTTGGTTAAGAAACCACAAAAAACTTAAAGGGTCTCATTTATACAGCTAAAATCAGATATACACACATTCACACATGTACGTACATGCGTTTCTTCAGCAATAGGGATGTTTGAAAGCATTCCAACACAAAAATGCTAGTAAAACTTTTTATAAAAAGATATCAGAATGTGATATAAACACACGCTTGATCAAACATATAGTCAAATGCCTGAGTAACATATAACAGAGGGTGTGGTGACCATCTCTAGACTCCAACTTCCAATAAACTATTCAACATTGCAATTGTAGACTTATGCCTTCCACTTAACCTTGTAGGAGACAAAAACTGCCACATATAAAGTTAATGTGGCATAGCATCTATACAGAAGGTTGTCAAATGGAAAGAATGCTGGACTTGCACATGGAGCCTAGTCTACTCCATTTCTGATCACTGTACTCAAATCTAAGACACATTACATGACTTTATTATCCCCATACGACCACTGGAGAGTTATAATGACTCAATATATTCTATAGTTAGTTCTCAAATTGGTTCCCTTTCATCATTTCTCTATTTAAAGAAAATCCAAGGATATTGTTACTTAACAGAAAATCTACAACAGAGCTTCAGTGGAAAAGACAAAATTAAATTGAAAGTTCCTCAATCTGTGGATTCTAATAAATCACTCCTCAGTATCATTACCCACTTAAAAGTGATTAATTTTGCTAGCTGTAAAAGCAAAGTGGTTTAAAATGAAATGCTACATCAGTCTATCAGAGATGGATTAAATATGATGTCTTTAGTGGTTTAACAATCCTTGAAATACTGTCATCCTAATTTTCCCGACAGTATAAACAGATTAAGCCCAAATATACAATACAATTCTGAACTCCAAAAACTAATGAGCAGCACCAGCCTACAGCTCCCATGAACTCCAAGGAAAAGGGCAATAAGAATAGAAAGGCAAACATAAAAGAACACTAAAAAACTAAAAATGATCTGAAAATGTCAAAGTGCCACAAAACAATGACACCACAAAGCAACAAATGTTCTAAGCTTCCCTTTCTTCACAGTGTCTTCCTTGAATGCTCCCTCTATCCGTCTCTTCATCATATATTAAACCTGGCTCTCCCCTCTGGTGGACTCTTCCTTTCCAGCCTCTGCAGTAGAGCCCGCACTCCTCTCTAACACCTCATATACCTCAAGGATAGCAAAGACTTTTGCAACACAGGCTTCCCAGCTCTGAGGGTAAATGAATGAGTGAACAGACACCTCTGAGTAGGGAAGCACAGGGAACTGTCATTTCCACTTACCCGTCTACCTTGTTGCAACAACCTCTCCTCCTCCACCTCCATCTATCAACTTTTTAGTCATTCTCACATATTCTCCAAAAACCTTGACCCTTAAATGACAGTTTCAGTTGCCATTCCTTATGAGGAGATTTCAAAATCTGGGTAGATTCACTGAGCCAACACCTTTCTCCTATAATTCATTACCCTGATCAAATTCAAAGAACTTCATGCAAATGAAACTTAAGCAACTAATTCTGACAGCCACACCTTAGGATCAGTGGTAAGTATATCACAATCTCCTGGAAGGCATGTTAAAACACACACCGCTCCACCCCCAGATTTTCTAGTTCAGAAGGTCTGGGATGCGACGCAGAACCTGCATGTCTAACGAGTTCTCAGATGATACTGCTGGTTCCAACACCAACTTTAAGAACCACTGGCTTAGATTTTTCCATTACCCAAAAATGGTTAACATTCAAACCATTCTACCTCTGATAGGTCTTCTACTCTTTTAGACTTCACTCCCAATACACCTGCTATTCCATCACAGGGCTGCTCAAACTCTATCTACTTATTCTCAATTGATAATTCCTTTCATCCTGTGTATCTGCTATTCTCAACACTGACAACTTATCTACCCTCTGCCATATTTATTCTCAACAGATCACTTCAACTCTTAATTAGAAGAGAAAACAGAGCTCAGGAGGCAGGAAATTACTCTCTGATATGCTTTCACACTTCTCCACTTCGGTAACTAACTTCACCCCCTTCATGCTACCCTCTGAAGAAATATCCTGTGTCCAGTCCAAGACTTACCTTCTCAATCCTATACTCTGCCATGGCCTCAAATCTCTGCTCCATCAAACAGTATTTGTCATGTCTATAATTTCAAACTGTCCCTTGCTGCTGGCATGTGTATTTTTAATTTTAATAGATGCCAATAGACTGCTTTCTTAAATCATGACAAGAGGTTAAATGGAAGAGGTTTTGGATCAGGAATCTTAGGCCAACTGAAAACAGAAGCACTATACTGAGAAGTGTTTAGATTAACTGTTACTAAACACTGAAACTTCCTACCTTCTTTCTCTTGTTCAGCCCTGAATATTCACAAACAGGCTTCCACTCATCAAACAGGATACAGGGAGATTCCTTCCTAGGAAAACTGAATGACTCAAGAAATAGGTACAGATAACTGAAAGCTAGAAATTCTCTAGTGAAATGCTGGGTCCCTACCCAATTGCCCTAGCATGAAGATTACCTAGGGTGACCAGCCACACTGTTTTGCATATGACTATTGTGGTTTTAGTACTGAAAGTCATGTGTCCCAGAAAATCTCTCAGACTACAATGGCTGGTCACTCTAGGCAAACCTGAGGACAAGCCTCATCCCTGAACACAAAGATTAGCTGTTTGTGTCTTCCACTTAAAAATGAAAGGGTAATCAGGATTACCAAACATTTTCCCTCTTCCCCATCCCCATCAGACCTCAGTTGTTCTCAGCATTCAAGAGTCTCTCATGGTTTGCCTCCCTCCATCTCCCCAACTATTTTTCCCCTTTTTCTCCCCCATAGTCCTCCATTAAATTCCTCCTAATCCACCTGTACGTGCAAACATATGGTATCTGTCCTTCTCTGCCTGACTTATTTCGCTCGGAATAACACCCTCAAGGTCCATCCATGTTGCTACACATGGCCAGATTTCATTGTTTCTCATTGCCATGTAGTATTCCATAGATAAACCACATCTTCTTGATCCATTCATCAGTTGACAGACACTTAATGTTCTTTCCATGTTTTGGCTATTGTTGAGAGTGCTGCTGTGAACACTGGGGTCCATGTGCCCCTGTGCATCAGCACTCCTGTATCCCTTGGGTAAATTCCTAGCAGTGCTATTGCTGGGTCATAGGGGAGTTCTATTGTTAGTTTTTTGAGGAACCTCCACACTGTTTTCCAGATGGGCTGCACCAGTTTACATTCCCACCAACAGTGTAGGAGGGTGCCCGTTTCTCCACATCCTCGCCAGCATCTAGAGTCTCCTGATTTGTTCATTTTAGCCATTCTGATCGGCATGAGGTGGTATCTCAGTGTAGTTCTGATTTGTATTTCCCTGATGATGTGGGACGCTGAGCATCATTTCATGTGCCTATTGGCCATCTGGATGTCCTCTTTGGAGAAGTTTCTGTTCATGTCTTCTGCCCACTTCTTCACTGGATTTGTTTTTTGGGTGTGTAGTTATATATATGTTCTAACTCACAAGTTTAAAAGGGCTTTGAATATTTACAATCAAGAAACTACCCCTGACATTCTATTGACAGTCATCCTGCAAAAGTCACAAATGACCCAGGTGCCACATCTCAGAATAAATAAACGTTCTACAGTAAACTTATAATCATCTTGGAGTGAGGCAAAAAAAATTATTTAGAAAAATGTCACAAATTTGATAGTTCTAATTATTCTAAATATTAAGAAATGTTAAAAGTGGATTACAAAACTACATGTGTACTTCCAATTATGATTTAAAACACACATAAACATAACACACATAAAATGCACTGAAGAAAAACAAAAAGCCCAGCCACTAAAGTACTAAGAGTGGTTGTTATCAACGGTGTGAGTAATTTTATTTCTTTCCACAAAGTTTTAAATTTATCAAATTCTCTTTAAAATCTGAAAAAGTTACAGAAGTATCTGCGTAAAGACTCCTCATCCAGATTTTTATTTTATTTTATTTAAAAAAATTTTTTTTAATGTTTTATTTATTTCTAGGAGAGAGAGAGAGAGACAGCGTGAGCAGGGGAGGGTCAGAGAGAGAGGGAGTCACAGACTGAAACAGGCTCCAGGTTCTGAGCTGGCAGTCAGCACAGAGCCCGACGCGGGGCTCGAACCCACGAACCGTGAGATCATGACCTGAGCGAAAGTCGGACGCTTAACCGACTAAGCCACCCAGGCGCCCCTCCTCATCCAGATTTTTAAAGTTACCTGTAATAATAAAAATAAGCAGCTTCGGCCTGTTGGTCCTCTGCTCACTGAAGAGGTTAGTCCAGGGCCCACATTTTAGAACCTGGGTTTCAACTCCACAACATAAAATGAATTCCTCATGCACAGGAATTTCTCCCTTGATATTGGAATCCATTTCTAAATGAGAGGAGAAAAACAATAAAATGAGTTGCTAACGTGTAAAACCTTGGGCCAAAGACAATATTCAAGAAATTAAAAAAAGGCAAATTTCAATACACACAAGGAAATATGGCGGGTATATGACCATTTAACTATTCTGGATTATAGGGTCACACACACAAAATTAAAACAAACCACAAGAGTAAGGAGAAACAGAGTGACACATCTTCAGTGAAGTGAAAGACTCCACAGGAGTGTGAATCAAGATCAGATTGGCCAGAGATCCTGCTAAACACCCTATAATGCCTAGGACAGCACTCACAAAGAAGAATATTCTAGCCCAAAAATCAATAGCGCCAAGACTGTCAAAACAAAACAAAACAAAACAAAACAAACCTGCTCTAGTACTAGGTGGCTATAGGGTACAGTTTGTCCAGCATTTGGCGGGCTGCAATGTGTTTCCTCTTTCTCTAGCTCTCTGTTCTGGTGGCAACGGCAATGTAGCAAGAGTCCCAGAGAGCACAGGTGTGTGCCTCAGACCAGATGGCTGCTCCTTGCACCTTCTCCTCAGCCCACATGCACACTAAGGAGCCAGCCACCTGATCTCTGTTGCACACAGTAGCCTGGAAGGGCCTTGCCCAATAGAGCTCTGGGTTGCTTAAAAAAAAAAAGGGAAGCTTCTCCAACTCCCCATTCCAGTAGTGCCCAAAGCAGTGGCCCAACCTTCTCTGCACCTGCCTATCAGCTTCAACTCACCTGGATCCCAGAGTTGCTGCTGTGGCCCTTCCACGCAGGCTCCACACACTTCAGACCTCACACCTGCACCAGCATCCTGCTTCACTCTGCACACCCTCCTACCAGTCTTGGTTCATGTCCTGACACGATGACTGTGGACCAGCTTTGGCCCAGGCAACCACCAAATTTCCCTACCACACAATAGGCTGCCACCACACCTTCTTCAGTAAGATCTAAAGCCACGTTCCCAGTTTGTCTCTTCTTGGGTACTTTCCCTCTCCCTAGGCGATCTTTAGAGTTTTCTAAAGTTTTATAGTTTCTCTTCTTCCACAGCTTAAAAATTCCTTTTATTAAATTAACCTTCTGAGTTACTGTGTGGTTTCTCTCTCTTGAATGGATCTAGACTGCTACATCCTTCATTGTCTATCTAAATTTTTCTCTTAAAATCTTTCCCACCTTAGAGGTAGCTCAAATTCTACTTCCTACTTGAGGTCTTCCCTAAACACATCAAATAAACTCTGAACTCACTCACTGCACCTTTCTTTATCATTAAGTCAACAGTGGAAATGGTAGCCAGGTAAACTTTACCTAGTAATCTTTGCACTTGTTATTCATGTCATGCTGTGCTCTCTCACAGCACAACAGTCAACAAACTCACTGCCAGTACCACACATTCCTCCCCAGATTGACAATCACCTTAGGTTAAGGTAAGGTTTGGATACAGGAAGGAAGAAAAAGTTAACATATATCCCGATCTCCATGTGTACTCCAAAAAAGCTCCAAAAGTCTGAAACTTTCCCAAATAAAATTACTTAGAAAAAAAAAAAAAAAACTCACTCAAAAAGTGGGGACTCCTCTGCATTCAAAATAAATTGACTAAATAAATAAAAGTATCATCTCATATTTTCTTAAGGATTGATCTTTAGTTCACCAATACATGTCACTGTACTCCAATCTCTGAAATTGTCACAAAACAGAGTATATTATAAAGCTCTTATGACATTTACAAAATGTTGGAAACAATGAGATTTAGCTGTTCCACACTGCATTAAATTAGAGCACCATCAGAGAAGACACTGGCTAAACTAAATACCTGCACCAGAAGATAATCCAAAGTTAGTAACTATATTCTACTCATAAATACTTTAAGCAAATGACATTTTGGGAGTTTGATTAGCTACAATATTAATAAGAATTCAAGTAGATAAGAAACTCAATCAGTCTATAAAATTTGGAAAACAAAAAATGAACTATGCTTCTAAAATACCTCAAATAAAATACAACTAAGAAACATGGAGTAAACCTATGTATTACAAAGCATCTTTTTATTTTACTCGCTCTTATGTTTCTGATTCTGCTACAGCCAAAAATAAATATATAAATAATAAATAAATAAAAAGCAAAGGAAATCTTAAGAGTAAGAAACCTCAAGTTCTTCCTTACCTAAGAATCCAAAGTAATTGGGTCTGCAAACAAGCGTCCAATTAAGAAGGAACAATGTATTCTAAGTATGTAATTGTAGAGGCTGATGGCCCCACCTACAAAACACAGCCTCTAAGCAATCTTAAATGCAATCAGTTTTGATAAGCAGCAAGACTTAGGGTTCACGTGAATACACCAAGTGTGAATACAATTTGTGTAACTTAGGTAAGCTTTACTTACCTAAATACAGGTGTTCACCTGTTTTTATTAATGGGTTTAATTTTATTTAGTAAAAATTTTTTTCCAATAAATCTTTTTTTTTAATAGTTTATTGTCAAGTTGGTTTCCATATAATACCCAGTGCTCATCCCCACAATTGCCCTCCTCAGAGGAGGGCCAATAAATCTTACACAAACTAGGCAACATATAAAATAGAAAAGCAGAATTTGATCAGTATAAATTTTGGAGGTTCAAATTTATAATATTTATTATAAGGTCAGCCAATGAGAACAGTGGCTATATTAATGAACAAAAATATTTGCAAGTGGAGTTATAAATGAGTCTCATTTAGCTTTAGCATCCAAATCCAAATAATGTTTGCATTTTATTTTGGCTACTTAGTAAGAATTCTGCTTTATTCACACATATAAGAACTGCAAATGATAAAAGTATTTTTAAAAAACTTGTGTAATACAAATCAAAACACAATCAAGTATCACCTCACACTTGTCAGAATGGCTAAAATTAACAACACAGGAAACAAAAGATGTTGGTGAGGATGTGAGAAAGAGGAACCCTCTTTCTCCGTTACACCGTTACGGGAATGCAAACTGGTATAGCTACTCTGGAAAACAGTATGCAGGCTCCTCAAAACGTTAAAAGTAGAACTACCCTATGATCTAGCATTTGCATTACTAGGCACTTACCCAAAGGGTACAAAATACTGATTTGAAGGGGCACATGCACCCCTATGATTATAGCACCATTATCAACAATAGCTAAATTATGGAAAGAGCCCAAATATCCATCAGCTGATGAATGGATAAAGAAGTTGTGGTATATGTATATAATGGAATATTACTTAGACATAAAAAAGAATGAAATCTTGCCATTTGCAATGACATGGATGGAGCTATATATAGAATACTATGCTAAGCGAAATCAGTCAGTCAGATAAAGACAAATACTATAATTTCACTCATATATGGAATTTAAGAAATCAAACAGATGACGGGGGGAAAAGTGGCAAATCATAAAACAGACTCTTAACTATAGAGAATAAACTGAGGGTTGATGGAGGGAGGTGGGTGGAGGATGGGCCAAATGGGTGATGGGTATCAAGGAGGACATTTGTTGTGATGAGCATTGGGAGGTATAGATAAGTTATGAACACTCCGTTCTACTCCTGAAACTAATTATTACACTATATGCTAACTGGAATTTAAATAAAAGCTTGAAACAAATGAAAAAACAAATGTGTGTTGCAATGTCCAGATAGTCTTCAATTAAACTACATTAACTTTGAAACAGAGGTAGTGAGGTGATTTTCTTTCAGAGTTAAAACACTAACACTATGTAACAATAACTTGTACAATTTATCATATATACAAACAAGGTAGCTAAGAAGCTCTTAAGCTTTTTCAGATGACAAAAACTTTATACATGACATTATTAAATATAAGTTGTGGGCTGTGTTAATGTCCTGCAACTACACAGAGCAAAGCATATATTTTGCATGTGTCTGAGCCCTGACTGACAGTTAATTAATGTTGTTTCTGGGCACTAGTCCTAAAACTACTTGTAAAATATTTAGTAACTAAGCAAGTGAAAATTGAACTTTTTAAGTCCCAGGGATGAGATTTAAAATTTCTAACTGTCTTCAAAACACAACAAAAGAAGTACAAATATCTACAAAAACAGCAGCAGAAGCTTTATTGAAAGTTCTGTAAATTTTTAGTAACTCTATTAGTGAATATTAACATATTGGAGAGCTATATGAATCTGGTGAGGCTGGGAGTTGTTTTAAATTTAGTTTAAAATGTACATTAAAATTAAGTCCAATCAATCCCATGTTAGTAAGGAAAGCCTTGCTTGTGTTGAAACCATATGAAAAGCTAGAGGGAAAAAAATGGTACTAAAAAAAAAATCTGTTAAAAAAATCAGTAACCGGGGTGCCTGAGTGGCTTAGTCGGTTAAGCGTCCGACTTTCGCTTAGGTCATGATCTCGCGGTTCGTGGGTTCGAGCCCCGCGTCCAGCTCTGTGCTGACTGCCAGCTCAGAGCCTGGAGCCTATTTCAGAGTCTGTATCTCCCTCTCTCTCTGACCCTCCCCTGCTCACGCTGTCTCTCTCTCTCTCTCTCTCCTAGAAATAAAAAATAAAAAAATATATTAAAAAAAATCAGTAACCAATAAAAGAACTGCTCAAGAATGTGTAATAAAAGAGGAAATAGAGAATATATTTAATATAAAGATAAGAAAGCAGAGAAGTAATACAGAACAAGTGTAACAAATGAATTAAAAAAGCAGTAAAACTGTATATTTAAAACTAAGTATAACAGTAATAAATTAAATGTAAATAAATAGACCAATTATGCTAATTAGATAAAGGCAAAGGTGATCAGATTGGATAAAAATAAAACAAGTAATTGTGTGCTACTTATAAATAATACACATTAAGAATAAAAATACATAATGAATAAAAGTAAAAGGATGGAAACAATAAACCATGGAAATACTAGTCAAAGAAGAGGTGGTATAGTTATATACACATATACATATATATGTGTGTGTGTATATATATATATATATAAATTCAATCCACCAGGAGACCATAACAATTCTAAATAAGTATGTACATATTT